AGGCAAGCACTCTACCACTGAGCCACCTTCCCAGCCCCCTGACTTTTTTTTTTTACTTTTTGTTTGACTTTTTTTTTTTTTAATCGCAGTTATCAATCTTGGTGCATCCTGACAAAAATCAAGATGATGCTGACAGAGCACAAAAGGCTTTTGAAGGTATTTGTAAATTGACCTCCTTTTGAGGAATGTATTTTGAATGCTAGGGACTCACTGTTCCATTACCCTAGATGAAGCAAAGAATGGTCATGCAGAAGATCTGAATTTCAGTATAACAGTTGGCTAAGCAGAAAGAATGTTGCTCTGTAAGAAGTAGATCTGGGGGACCGGGTTGTAGCTCTATGATGGAACACTTGTCTGGCATGCATGACATCTGGATTTGATGCCCAATACTGCAAAAAAAAAAAGAAAAAAAAAGTAGGTTTTTACGTTGTTCAATTTTTATGTACCATAAGGTCTTTTTTTCCCTTCTAACATAAACATTAGAAATAATAAATCTACAGGTAGTAGATTTAGTTCTGAGTATATAATTTTTTCCATGGTTTTCAAGGTCATTGCTATAGTTGTATGTTTTTCTAAAAAAAAAAAATTAGCTTAACAAGTGTAAATAATAAAGTAGGGAATGCTTTTAAACAGGGCAAGCCTATCACGCTGCCTGAGTATAGTTCAGACTTTCAGAGGGTGTTTGCAGAAACAGTTAATTTCAATGTTTTGCATTAGCCGTGGACAAAGCTTACAAGTTGCTACTGGATCAGGAACAAAAGAAGAGGGCCCTGGATGTAATTCAGGCAGGAAAAGAATACGTGGAACACACTGTAAGTATTTATAGTACTGCCGTGTTTACAGGAAGTACCAGCAGGCCTTGGGCACCTTGTAGAAGGGTAAATGTAATAGTACCATGTGCCAGTGTAACTGTGGCCTCCACCACTTAGCTGTGGTGGGCGTGACTAGTGTTTGTGTAGAGCTCAGCAGGAGTGGCCAGAACACTGCTCCCTTTATCCCTGCCAGTCCTGTGTTAGGACTGAGTGCCATCGTGCTCCTCTCAGCACAGGTCACCATGAAAACGGAGCTCCGTGGTTTTCTTGGCAAACGTTTTGGAATATAAGGTTGAGAAAGATTGGAGAGGGGATATGAGTAAACCACAACAATAAAAATTAGGGCTGGGAAAGACCCAACTGAGCAATTTATAGATGGTGTTTTGTTTTTTGCTCATAGGGGAATTACATAAATATCTTAAAGGGTGAGAAATGACTTTTTTGGGGAGGAAAGATTTTGTGTGTGTGTGTGTGTGTGTTTTTTTGGTCAGTTGTGGGGCTTGAACTCTGGGCTTGGGCATTATCCCTCAGCTCTTCAGCTCAGGGCGTGAGCTCTACTTCCTGAGCCACAGTGCCACTTCCGGTTTTCTAGTGGTTTATTGGAGATTAGAGCCTCACGGACTTTCCTGCCCGGGCTGGCTTTGAACCGTGATCCTCAGATCTCAGCCTTCTGAGTAGCTAGGATTACAGGCGTGAGCCACCAGCGCCTGGCTTTGTGTGTTGCTTTTTGAGACTAGATTTTTTCTATGTAGTATAAGGTAGTCTTGAATTGGTGACCCTTTTGACTTAGCTTCCTGACTGTAGGGATTACAGGTGTGTTCTAGCATAACTGGCTAGGAAGCTTTCTATTTTAGTTTTTTTCACTTGTGGAGCCAAGAATCTCAAGGCCATTTATGAGCTGTTTTTAATGGTGAGTGAATGTAGATACCACCTTTCTTTTCAAGATCTATGGAATCTGAAATAGAAATGTATAATTAAAAATAATAGTGATGAATCAGGTTAGAAAATGAGTAAACACAGGAGGGAGAGGGCCATACTGTGTCTTGTTAGTTGTACAGAAATGGCATTTGGCACAGTTCTTGTCTGGTAGAAATCAGGAAATTTATGACAGATTTCTTAATTTGCTTACAAGAATGTCATGCTTCTACATCTTGACCACAAGATGGCAGCAGAGCCTTTCTAAATTTGGAAAGTACTTGGCTTTTTGATGGTGTAATAGATTCTTCAATGGAGTAGTGTCAATCTTGTGTGAATGGTTATATTTATTTTGTAATCTCAGTAGTGGCCAACGTGATAAAAATGTCGGTTAACATGATATTAAAATTTTTCTATTTCAGGGAGTTTCATAATGAAAATGATCAAGAATACAGTTGTAGAAATGTCCAAAAAACATTAATTATACTTACTGTCACAAGGTTTATAGCCTCTTCTAAAACTTGATAAATATATTTTCTTTGCTATAGGGATGTAACCACAGTCGAGAAAGATAAATGAATAATCTGTTAACTGCATCTCAGGCTGTTTGGATCTGGCTTGGGGATAAGCCCCACCACTGCTTCCTTCTCCTTCTTTCCGGGAGAGTGGGCTATAGATGAGGTTAGACGAAGGCCCAACACCCATGCTTCCTACTTTCCCTTGGTTGCATTGCTGGGTTGTTTATTTTCCTTTGGGGGTTGGAGCGCAACAAACTTTCGTTATGCTTGTACCTACAGAAAGTGTGCATATCATGTGTTGCAAAGTGTGAGTGCTCATCTTTTGATGAAAAAAATTCTTTTTAGGTGAAAGAGCGGAAAAAACAATTAAAGAAGGAGGGAAAACCTACAAACGTGGAGGAGGATGACCCTGAGCTGGTGAGTAAAATAAGAGAAACCACTTTTCCTTGTGTAATCTGATCTCTTGCTTGGTGGGTCAAAGAGAGTCCTAAAGAATGAGGAGTACAGGCTGGAAACATGTAAGTGGATGCATTGCAGTCATAAATTGGCATATTGAATTGGAACCCATTTGTGTAACTACTTAAAGGTAACAAAAATATAAACATATATTTATCATTTTCTTTCTTTCTTTTTGTAGTACTGGGGTTTGAATTCTGCTTGCTTGTTAGGCTACCATTTGAGCCACATCTCCAGCCCTACTTTTTTTTTTTTTTGGGTCCGGTCGTGGGGCCTGAACTCTGGGTCTGGGCGCTGTCCCTCAGCTCTTCAGCTCAAGGCTAGTGCTTTACCACTTGAGCCACAGCGCCACTTCTGGCTTTTTTCTTTTTGCTTATGTGGTACTGAGGAATCGAACCCAGGGCCTCATGTATGCAAGGCAAGCACTCTACCACTGAGCCACCTTCCCAGTCCCTCCAGCCCTAATTTTTGCTGGTTATGTTAGAGTCTAGTAAACTCTTCTGCCTGAACTGGCCTTTAAGTTACAATCTTCACATCTCAGCCTCCTGAATTGTTAGGACTACAGCTGTGAGTCATCAGTGCTGGCACTGATTAATTTTTTTTGTCAGTTGTGGGCTTGAACTCAGGGCCTGGGTGCTGTCCTAGAGCTTTTTCACTTTGAGCCATAGCACCACTTTCGGTTTTCTGAGTCCTAGGGCTTGAATTCAGGGTTCGCCCTGGGCTCTGTCCCTGAGTTCTTTTTTTTTTGTTGTTGTTGGTTGTGGGACCTGAACTTTGGGCCTGGGCGCTGTCCCTCAGCTCTTCAGCTGTAGACTAGCATTCTACCACTTGAGCCTCAGCCCCACTTCCAGCTTTTTCTGCTTATGTGGTGCTGAGGAATTGAACCCAGGGCTTTATGCATGCTAGGCAAGCGCTCTAGCACTAAGTAGCATTCACAGCTCCTGGCTGGGTTTGAATCATGATCCTCAGAGCTCAGCTCTTGAGTAGCCACTGGTGCCCGACTTTTTTTCCTTTTCTTTTGAATTAGGATCCATACCAAGCTGGTCTTCATCTCCAGGGCTCAAATGATATTCCCACCTCAGTCTCCCAAGTATCTGGGACTCCAGAGGCACATTCATGCACATTCAGGCCTAACTTTTTTTGTTTTTACTAGTGTGTATTAATTGTAGAAAATAGTTTTGGGCTGGGAAGGTGGCTCAGTGGTAGAGCGCTTGCCTTGCATGCCTGAGGCCCTGGGTTCAATTCCTCAGCACCACATAAGCAAAAAGAAAAAAACTG